ATAGCATTGCGATCAAGATAGTTGAGCCAGTACATACTCCAAAGCATGGGCTATTATCATCAGCAAACTTATCTCCTTCGTATTGATGATCAGTTACTCACCATCATCCATCGGTCAAGCTTCCTCACAAGAGCAATCTCCTTAGGATCAGTCTTCTCATGAGCACCAGAGTAATCAATCTTCTCAACCTGAGGGATCATCTTCTCCGGATACTCATTCTGAAAGATCTGGGGCTCGACGTCCCTGATGTCGGTCTTGTTGTCACGCTGAGCCATGATGATAACAAGTCAAGAAGAAGTTTATAAAGTAGAGGTAGCTGGGTAGTCAAAGCGATCGACTGCCTTGATGAGAACAAAAATAGTGGGCGCTTCAAGGACAGTTATATAGACATTTCTCGACAGCGATAAAACCTGGGGATAGAGTGACAGTACCGCCCATCCCCCAAGTTCCCCATGGTCCTTGACCATCCCCCGCATTGCGGGGTGCAGAGTAGGAGTCGGCAACCCCGTGGACCGTGAAATTCGGAGGGCAGATCTGGCAAGGACAGATTAAGTTGGTCTAGACCGTCGCCAAGAAACTTGGGGTAGTACTCGTCTTGCGAGAACAGGGATGACTTAGCTGACAACACTCTGTGTGTCTTTGATCAACAGATGGTCTGCGCTTTTCTGTAAGAGCAGGTTTATCACAACGCTAGAAAACGGCGCCAAGATGACTTAAACCACAATGAAAGCTAGTTCCGGGCGTTTAACAGGCTGGATTCCGTACGAGAATGTATTAAGCTTTAGGTTAGAATGCTTCTTTCCTTCTAGAAGAATGGTCAAACTGAGTGGCGTTATCATCACGAGCCGTTAGTCTCTTCTCTTATTGGAGAATTTCGTATTGCACTGCCTACCTCCAAAACAGCCATGCCATTAGCTAGCCTGGTAGACGAGAACTCCAAGTTTGATTTCTCCACTGCGGGATTTCCAGAACTGTACGCCCGCAGCAACAAGGTCGTACCATACCGAACAGGGAAGGAGATTAAGCTTAACGATTAAGGTTGCGGGGTCGACATGGGGTAACAAGCAGCAGGGATGCAGAAGGAAGTGAGGACCGTTTCCCCCGCGTCATTGCAGCTCACGATGGAGAGAGTAAAGTTGTTAGATGATTGTTTTTGTAATTTGTATTATTTGCATGATTCATTAAGTGTTAGCCAAGAGTGAGGGTGGTAGTTGTCTCCGCATGTTCCATGTTGAAGGGAGAGACTAGCTTGGCTACTCCGCTGACATTACTTGGCTGCCTCCGCACCCTTTTGGCCAAGGTGACTCCTCTCCTTAGCTTCTCTCCTCATTAGCATCATCTTGAGAGATAAGGTCGTTGTAGGTGAACCATAGATCAAACCTTTAATCTCCCCCAGTTTACGCTATCAAACTTACGCAATGACAATGATCCGACTGCCTGAAGTACAGCATGCATGCTGTTCAATGCAACCCGTAAGACCAGCTCACAGGGATGTGCCAGACATTGGGTCACGAATACCACCCTGATCCCTTGCAGCTTGAACTTTGGAGCATTGCATCACAACATCATAGCGTCTGTGTCAGAACCCCCTCTTGGCGAGTCCAGACCGTTCCGAAGATTCCCGCTCTAGTTTATTAGCTAGAATGTGATATCTGCGGGGGATCTAGTCTAGCGGTTCGGTGCCCGCATCTCACTGAGAGGGGGTTGGGGGGAGGGCTGTTTACTCCGCGACCTGTGCACTAGCACTCCACTAACGATGCTCCGCCACAGTAATTATCCAGTGATACGCCGGTGAAATGATACTAGGGTTAGTTTTAAGCTCGCTGATCTTGTTTTCTAGAAGAATTGCCGCTTCCTCATCATACATTGTATCTAGCTAGTCATGCATGTGCTTAGCCCTATTCAGATAACACATTCCAGTAGCCGCCTGCACTATCGACTCGACGCCCGCTCCTCACACTTCAATGTCAAATGATAGGCTCAAGATAACCCGCCTTCCCGGATTCTTTTCGACACGATCTCCCACTAGACGTCTTCTCGAAGGATTCACCGCTGGTGTCTCACAGATCTGCACCAGCTCCAAATGCACCGTGACGTTGTTCCACTTTACGGGCGTTGGTAGTCTGGGGTTTTGGTCTTGGCTTTTGCTGGATATCAGCTATTTCAGCTAGAACGGGGAGTGATTACCCTTCCCCGCAAGGGTATCTCACTGTGATAACTGGGGATGATGAGCACAGACTGTTTACTAATGGTCTTTCCTAAGCGAATGCATCGGCGCAATTACTGTATTCGTTTATGGAAGTTGTTGGTTTGAAAGGTCGGATGCTTACGGGGCTCGTATTCTTGGCACGTCATCCTTGAGACGAAAGTCTATTGCTCCAGGGCTGGAAGACGCAATGCGACCTTGTAGAAATGTCCATTTCCGTAGATTGGTTGCGCGAAGGCGCTTGGAATGTTCTTGGGTTCCTATTTCATCCGATGAGGCTCTGTAGTGAGATTCAGCGTCGTATAGCGTGGATTTCGCTTGGCTTCTTGGGGAAGAGAGTCTCGGGGGCTACTATTGGGGTCCCGTCATTGCTTAGGGGACTGAGCTGTCGTGGTCCGGATGGGGTCGGAAGCGAGGCCAAGAAGCAAGGGGAGATAGCGCCAACAATAATGCATGTTATCACTCTGACGTTGGGGAATTAAGTCTTGGCTTGGACTTGGGGAAGTTCGCCATCCTACTCTTCCCGAGAAAGGCTGATGAAGCTCATTCTGACTCGGATGGCATGATAGGTTGGCCTCATTTTGACTCTTCTCAAACCTCACCTAGACTCAGGTCAAGATAATAACACGGCTCAGTGTTCCGAGACTCAGGCTTTCCAAGCAGGAGCCTGATAAGAAGTCATGACGATATGGAAACTTCAATCATGTATCAGACGGGACAGAGCCAGGGATACCCAAGGCACCAGTTTCAAAGCAGGCTGGTGACGGTTGGTGGTCTCCGGCGGACAGAAAACGTGAGACTGGCCTCCGCCAAAACCCAGTGATCTACGACGAGTCCAAGTCCCAAGTTTTGTGTCTCCTCCCTTAGGGCTGTAGCTCAACCGGGAAGCCTTCTCCTCTGACGATGTACATCTAGGTATGGAGCAAAGTAACGCGGTTGCATCCGAGATCATCCATGAGTGGATAGACAGGGTATGCATTACCTCTTTCTTTGATACAATCTCCAAAATCAGGTTCTCGTTGCTGAATTCTCTCATTATAAATACAGAGAGCTCGCGTCCAAGAGGGCCGGATATCCTCAGCACCAATTCACAGCTTCTCCAGGAAGAAGCTCATCAACTCTACATATTTCGGCACAGTCCTCTCGGTACGGTTCTCTCGGTACCGAAAATCGATTGCAACCTGGGAGATTCGCCAGGGTCACCCAAGTGGCGCTACCTAACGGAAGTTCCATGTTCGAGACTTCGAGCTGAGACGTCGAAGCAGTATATGTCACCCTCCATGTTATAGCACATCCGGAACTTGTATTCCATGTAAGCCACAAAGTGTTCCCTACCCTCACTGAGCTCGATGCTCGATCATGGGTGGGTGGCCGGACTGCCCGTCGACATGTGATGGTGTTCAGGATGGTGTTATGGGGCAACCGGCTGGCCAGCTGCTGAGTCCCTCACCACTACTGACGACCAGCTCCCAAGGCAGAATCCTTAAGCCAGCACCAAATCTATCTTCAGCTCCATCGCGTCTAAAAGTCAGTTCCCTTGCTTCAATTGTCGCCTGAGATACGTCAAGCGACGACGACCACGGGCTTCGTGTCGAAATGCTCTCCGAAGACATCAATGATGTGCTGGGGGCGTTCTCGTCATGAAGCCAAGACGTACTGATGCTACAGCTCACGTTAACCCTTGCTCAGTGGCTTGTGGTCATCCTAGCTACAGCCCAGAACCTAGTGGTCACGCACTCCTCGCCACTCCTAACGCGCAGCGTTCACGATACAGAAGCCTGTATCCAATAATGCAGCTATCTTCATAGCAGTCAGTTCCTTTGGGAAGGCAGTCTTCTTGAATGGTAGCATGCGACTCTTCAAGTCACAAAAAAAGGGCCTCGTATTGAAGTAGCCCGTCGCTGACTTCCATGACGGGCTCGAGACGTTCTCTTCATCTCCAGCGGCAAGCTATTCCTACTAGTTCTTCAGCTGGTTCTTTATCCTTTGCATCCTTGCTGAGTGGCTTGGTGCTATCCTAGTTGTTCTGACCCCGCGTCCATAGGTGTCCAGCCTTCGTAGAGAGCTAGATGTCTGGTCACTCTCGCTCATTGGGTGCCAGAGATCTCCGCAGATACACAAACCAGGTTCCATGATGTGATCACCGCCTTAGTGCCAGTAGTGTAGTGTTCCGTCACCGTCAGTGGTTGTTCTAGGCCTGTTAACCTGTTCAGGGGGTCTTGACACGTCTAGTTTCATCTCGCCATGACCGCTGGCTCGTTTCTAAGATGCGTAAAAGGTGTGAAAGAAGGTTCATTCCCTGTTCTCATTATCACATTCTCTTACTCTCACGTATCTTCCATCATCACTGTCTTGATCGGGCGGCCATGGCGCCCACCGGAACCGCTGCATCTATATCACAGACTAAGTTGGGATGTAATTTTATTGGCTAGCCGACGCAATTTACTTCTCGTATACAGTTACGTGACCATCTTGCTAATAGCCCTCCATTTGCCTGAGCTACTATGGAAACTGCTGTCGCGCCATGGCAACAGCACTGATAAACTTGGTGCTCGATACAAAAGCACACTTATCCGGAATAGGCACACTGCTAGCGAGGTTCCCAAAACGTGAACTCGCCACGCCATATTGCCAAGCTAACCCGTCCTCCATCCTGAACAAGGGTCCTCCTGATTGTCCGCTCTGACAATCCGCATCAGTGATAACCCTGTCGCCAGGAATATCGCAGGAGTGATAACATCTCTCTGCTGTTATCCCATCCTGTCGCATAGGCTTTTCTTTATTATAAAGGTACCTGTCAGGATACCCCACGTGTGACTATGCAAGGTTAGTGTTCATTCTCTTATTCTGTTCTCTTTTACTCACAAAAGCTTGCGTGTGCATCAGAGTCTTTGTGTCGAAATCTTTCACCCCGAGATACCCGTGCTTATCACCCATTCGATCCGCGAGAATCAATACGGCCCAGTCGTTGCAGAGCATGCATTCAAATTTGTCCTGTTCATTCATGGGCGTTCTGTGACAATCTAGGGCGTCCGCCAGAGCGATGACGTCCGTCACGTTCGATATGCCTCCGCTCTGGCCCTCGAAGAAGTTGGATTCAAACGTAACAGTCTCGGAGAATGTATCCCACCCGAAGCAGTGCCTCGCTAACAAGACGTGTCGCGGTCCAACCAAAGAACCACTGCAAGTTCTCCAATTCCCGTTCGCATGTGACTTTGAGCCCAGGAGGATTCTCCCTAGAGAATAGGCGGGGTATTGTTGGCTATTCCATTCGTACCTGTCGTCTTTGACAAAGTCTGGTATTTTTCCGTCAAAGTTACCTGGAAGGTTGCGCCGTTGGCGTGGTTGACGTGGAGGAACGGGTATGCCGGTGAAGTTGTCGAGTATACGCCTCGGGACGAGGTGGACTCTTGGGATAGTGTCGGTTTGAAGGGCAATAGGTGGTTGACCTGCCACAGTTGAGTTGTTTGCGGTGGTTGTTGGAGTTGCTGTTGGACCTGAGGGCGGAGGAGGTGGAGGTACAGGAGGAATAACGGGAGGTTGAGGTGGTGGAGGCTGGTCGCGAGCCTCAAGTGTGTTGTCGCCAAGGATAGGTGAGGCGAAGACCGGGTTGGTGAGGGCCAAGATGGCGATACTGAACAAGTTGAGAATCAACATCTTGCAGTGTATATGTTTGGAAAAGAAGGGACAGTCAGTGGCAACGATTCAATCCGTGAGTGCATTTATATTTATTCTCCTCATGATTAAGTTGGGGCGTTTTTGAATTAGTGTTGTAAGTATAACTCACTGAGTTGTTGAACCTTATGGTAATCATGGCCGCCATACGCCGCACAAATAGACTCGTTCAACCGAGCATTCGTCATATCAAGAGTAGATAAGACACTATCGCTATCTCAGCAACTTAGATCTAAGCCACAGCCTGGCAGACTCGGGCGTGCAAGAAGTCTAGTAGAACCGCGTTTTTTCTTTCATGGTTCATTCAACTGGCACGCTTGGCACATTCCCTATCGAACCGAGAACCTTTTTCCTCTTGATCACAATTGGCAGCGCCCATTCTCCCGTGCAGCTGTTCTTTTCGTGGCCACGTGCTTCTAATCCTGCAACTCAAATACGTGGGCCCAGGGCATGCTTCCAGCCACAGTTCTCAGCTACAAATGGCAAAACATACAACAAGCCCCTTCTTCTTCTTCTGGAAGAAGCAGAAAGTAGAACCCCTCTTTACTCTCTATCAAGCCAACAATGAATCCGCTTCTCGCATTCATCGGTGACCCAGAAAAATGCCTGGCCCTTTTCAGGATAGATGTATTCTGATGAGCTCTGTGTCACTTTCCTCTTCATTCATTGCGAGCCAATTTATAGTCGGGCAAACCTTCCAGTACCTTCCTATTGGCTGTTGAGTGACGTCCAACTGACCACGAAAAGGTTTCTCTAATGGCGTGGAGGCTTGCATCGTGTCATTTATATAGAGTTTGCCAGCCGTGCCCTAACACGCGAAACTCTATTGCCTTGCATGACCCTTTCGCTTACGTGGGCTCAGGTTTTTGAGTATCAAGGTGACTTTAGGTCACTTCACTTTCAAGAACGGGTTCGTAATCGTTTCGCGATGGCAAACTGCTCACAAATGTCGAGCCTTTTGGTATGCACTTTGAAGCATCGTGAATGACATCACCTTCATATTGGAATATAGTGTCTCATAATTTAAATGCCCTACTGAGAGCCCTTCAGCTCTTCAAATTGCTGACAGAACTTCTTTCGGCAGATTTCTCCTCCCTCCACCAATCTCCCTGTCCCCGTCATTCTTTCATGATAACCTCAGCGTCCTGGAGATGTTTGACGAGATCAGTAGGTCCAGTGCTTGCATTGGCCTGAACATTGCAGACCGGCCATGGTGAATACTTATTGCCTGTTCTGTGATATGTAAACGTGACACCATGGGGATAAATGGCCTCTACAGCTCTCTCGAAAGCAGTCTCGTCCCCAATAAGTCGGATGGGGATATCATGGATTTGAATTCCGTAAGTCGCCATTTTTCTTTAGATGTTCTTATTAGAGGGTGTCCTGTATAAGTAGCTATGATATGAGTAAGTTATGATGTTGGTTATTTCATTTTTCGAATGCGACGATGCAATTTATAGGTGGCCATGGTGGTTTCACTGCCATCGGATGTACAATGAGCCTCACTCTAAGAGCGAATACGTTGTTCAATCAGGTATTCACAGCGTCACCGTTTGCGATTTCCTATACAAACGATTCACCTTTGGTCATCACTTGAAGCCAGCAATTGGGAAGTGAAAAGGCTCAATTCGACCTCATTGTCTCACTGCATCTGAGAAGGCAAACGCTTCAGTTGCCACATCTCTCCTCCCTCAGTAACGGAACCCATGATGCCGGACGTCTTCCTCTCACTACTCATCATCCTTCTTGAGAACGCCCTCGTCCTGGAGAGTCTTCACCAGATTTGGGGGGCCTGTGCTCGCTTGAGGCGCTGTAACCACATACACGGCCTCTCCTCCATGTACGCTCTCCCTGGGGTGCGTCACTCCTTCACCATAATGTCTCCTTAGTGCTGCTTTGAAGGTCTCCAAGTCCTTGACAAGACGGACGGGGACATCTGTGATTTGACTTCCAAAAGTCTGAGGTTCTTGGTCTGAAGGCATGGTTATAGGTAGTGAGTGTGGATGTGAAGTTTGTGGTGGATTGGATGTATTGTTGTTGATGTTGTCTGTTTGTCTGGCTAATGGCCGGCGAGTCGCTCCTTTCTATAGCCAATCTTCAGCCTTGAATGACTTCACTGTCGCTGCAACAGACACTTGTCACAGTCACCAAGTGAGCGTGATCATCAGCGCTCTGTCAATGAACAACCTTCAAATTGGAGTCCTTTCACAGATTTATCGGGCACTTCATCACTCTCCGCAGCTCAGTGATTGCGGTCTCCTCGCTTCTCAAGAGTGAATCGTTTCATAATGCCCTCCCAGCCAACGTGAATCTCGGGACTTGTTCGAATGCTTCCCGAGTGACTTGTGTAGACAATTCACTGAATCAGCTAGCTAAGACTTCAATGCGTCGTTAATGTGTCAGGCCTACTTTAGCGGCAAACAACTTCGGTGAAGCGGTAGTCACAGTTCCATCACCAGGATGGTCTTGTCAAATGAAATTTCATAGTTGGCTTTTGCTTGTGACCGAATTGGAGCTTCTCCTTCTTGTAGCAATCAATTTTATGAATCTGGTCTTCCCCCTTCCTGGCCATCCATCACGGCGCTCCGTCACTAACAACCCTCTCTAGTCTACTTTCTCTCATTCCTTCATGACGAGCTTAAGTTCCTGCAGTTCATGGAGCAGGTTGAAATCCGCTGAACCCTTAATCACCATTCCCTCAATCTTATAATGCGCCATAGCGTCTGTCGTTTCTGCCATGCATGCTCCACCAGGGAAGAAGTCGTCCAATTTGTCTCTTATAGCCTTTAAATTTTCTTCTGACGAGCCTATAAGGAATGTAAACAGTGCATCCACTGTATTCGGTTTTGTTTCCGAGATTTGAGTCTCGAGACATTATGGCTGCGGCTGATGTAATTCTTGATTATTCGCGGTGTGTTTCTTCAATGGGTAGGTATGTGATCAATTCGCTTCCTTTCTGGCCAGCCGTTCTACAGGCTGACCGCGTCTATCTATACCCAATGCACTCTTCTGGCTCTTTTCACTCACTTTGCATCAAGCTCAATGTCACTGCCACCAGGCTGTGAACGTCAGGTTGTCAGACTCCTGCATCGAGAGTGAATTGCCTTTCAGTTCACGAGTCCACAGACTCCTCTACATAATTATCACGGTCCACTCGAGAGACGCAGACGTGCTCTATACACAGCCATTTAACAGTGGTCACTTGTTTTATTCTCGATAGACACAGCCTCACGCCTTTTTGGGAAGTGAGAAAATATTAACCAAAGCATGGTACACTGTCACGCATTCTGCATTGCTCGCATCTCTTCCTCTCACAACTGTTAGAGTCACCTCATCCTTCAGGGCTGTAAAGCTTAGATTACGGCTGGCCAATTATACCCTTGGCTTGATTAGGTTCTGCTTTCCAAGGCTTTTCAATGTTGACTACAGGAGATAACCGACTGTCTCTCACCGTGGCCTGCAAACTTCGCGGTTGCCTTCCTCTCCTTGCCTCCGTGCTCATTCCTGCAAAATATATTTTCCATCCATGAGGAATTTCTGTAGGTAGATCCTGTCGGGACTCTCTCGGAGTCCGGTTACCTTGTAGAATCCTGCATGGTGGGCGTCTGCCTTCACAAATGTGACGTCAATTCCCCCTGGAAAGTATTTCTTCAAGCCTTTCTCCAGCTTCTTGTAGTCGCTGACGAGGCTTTCTGGAATATTCTGTTCGAACGTGTGCCAATCTGTCTTGTTTCCTTGTTGGGAATCTGCAGTCATTCTTGCTGTATAGTGACTGTTCGTAGATGTGACTTTTTGTGTGTAGTTGTAGCTTGTTTAGTTGATGGGTTGATGGATTGATGGATTGTTGACTGTTGTTCATTTATCTGTTACTTATAGCTGAAACCTGGCTCAGTAGGCAACTAACAATAACCCCATTCACACTCGAACCTGTCTGAGCGCTTCTAATCACCGCACAGAATGAGTTTCAGCTTGTCACTCTCTAGAGTATTCGGGGACCTCATCATCACTGTCCTGGAGCTTCGAAGTGTGCGTCAGCTCACAGCATCCATAACAAAGTGGTTCCAGGCATCCCCGGCCTTTCAGGTTCCTTCACTTCTCGATTCACATCTTCTTCGCCGTGACGACTAAGGGGGTCTTGGATCGGCCATCGGCCATCTCTCAACATCACTTCTTTCACTCATCATTGTTGGTCGCTCAACTTATGCGATTCCTATGTGAATAACTACGAGTATCTCATAGCTGTCAAAAGTCCAAATGTCATTCGATGTACACGTCTCGTCCTTCCCCTCAATGCTGGACTATCCATCTCAGCGCTCAGCCTCTTCGCCCGAATCGCCCCTGAAGAATAGCACCGACATCTTGGAGCTTTTTCTGCAGGTCGGCAGGCTCTCTGTTTCTCGCAAGCGCAATAACACGGCAGGTAGTGGAGCTGTACTCATAGTCGACCTTGAATCCAAGAGGATAAATATCTCTCAGTGCTTTTTCGAACTTTCCCTTGTCGTTGATGAGCTCAAGTTTGATGTCTTGGTCGCATTGCCACTTAGCGGCTCCCTTGTTGGTTCTTCTGCAAGTTCCGGAAGGCATGGTTGCGTTTTTAGTGTTGGTGTTGGTAATATGTGGAGGTTTAGCTGTGTTGAGGTTTTTGGCATGGGAAACATCGGGGGGTTGTTGGTCTATTTATACTTGATCGTTGGCGTCCTTTCGTTCTTCATCCCTGAGCCGGGTCGATCATCACCTTGCTTGAGACCGTGATCGCCATATGAAGTTTTTTTTGTGACTCTATGTACAATTCACCTATCCGTGACGAGCCATAGTAAATGCTCTATTCACAGGGTCATCGCGGTTATGGGGAACGTCAACATGGTCCCTCTCTTCAAGCACTGCCTTGAATTGATCTCGTGAAAGGGCGCCAAGTACACCAGATATTCGCAGCCACTACCTGAGAGCTCATCATTGTTCAACTGATGGCTGGCATATGTCAAGGCACGAATCACTCATCAGGCGCATTCAGGGACAGGTGTGTCTGTTGTTTCTTGGAGCCCCCATGTCAGCAGACATTGATGCTCTTATCATGAGTTCCTTCAGCAAGTGAACCACACTTTCATCAAGTTGTGAATGTTGACCACCTTTCATCTCCACATCCCCCTATAAAAGGCCCCAAAGGACCCAGGTTATCATCCCTATACACGCCTTCCAAGTCAAAAAGTCAACAAGTCTATCAAAAACGAGTCGTTCGCGGGATGTAAGCATCGGCTGTCAGGTCTATCAACTCAGATTAACCCTCTTACAGACCCAGTTCGGGCAGAAACACCCAACATACGCCACAATGGTTATCATCAAATGGTGGGGCAGCACAAACGTTGTCGACACCGAGAAGCTCGTCTTCAGGCACGAGTTCCCCGAGAAACGGTTCTGCAAGATGGAGAAGCTCCGAGAGGCGCTAGGGGATATCTTTGGCTCGAATGATTGGGTCGTCGAGTACGATGGACATAATCTCATCATCAAGGTGGGAAGCAGGGTTGATCTGAAGGAGGAACTGAAGGCGCGTGGTATTATCTACAAGTCTATGTGTAAGGCTCGGGTGGTTTGGTTTCTCCGGTATTTTGAGTATGGCCGTTACTGCTGAGCTCCGTATACTGACTCTGACTCCAAGCGCGAGCGTGGCGGCAAGGTACTCATGGGCTGTGGAGATCTCATCATGACAGTTTTGTCGTAAAGGGCCGATGAACTGATTTGCGACTTTGCGCGCTTGCACCCAGCTGCTGCAAATGATTAGCCTCCTTGTGTTTGTATTGAATTGACTTCAAATGATGCACATTTAACGATCCCATTTGTTAAGCATTGCTTGCTATGCGACATATACTAAAACTACAGGGTAGTTTGATCTGGAGTCGACAGAGAATGTTTACTAAAACAGCATGTCGCATTCTCGCGTCAAGCTGACTATACTAAGCATAAGAGAGAGAAAGATTCTCTAAACCTGATTTTTTAAAAATTCTTTTGTTAAGCTGTAAGAGACTGAGTGGAAAGTGAAATAATTTCCTGCCCTTATGGCTAAATTAACGTTATAGGTCACATTTTGAACAGGGAATACCCGTTGACGCAATTGGTTAGCGTGTCAGACTTTTATCAACACATGAAATCTGAAAGTTATGAGTTCGTGGAGTTTCTTTTTTCGCCAATTTCGAATCCATTTCCCAATCTCCGAGTCAAAGGAAATCGATTGCACTTGGTTTTATCTTTTTATCTCGTCATTTGCGCTCGTGGTGATCATTTGAAGTTGGAGGCTATGCATGTAAGTGTGGCACTCTGTGGCGCAAGCTCCCCAAACATGCCCTCCATTTTCGCAAGCGTTCACTTTTGCACCAGCATTGATCTCAATACCTTTGTGCACCTGCTGCGCTCGAATCGAGGCCCGGCATTTGATGACGAGACTTCTGTAGCGAACAAGGGCTTACTGTCCCCGGCGATTATCTGAGCACTGAAACCGTTCGACGCCCCGATCGCAAGCCGAATCGACTTGAGGCTCAAGACGCATTCGCCGAACAGTACCTGATCGTCCTTGGCCTTTGTGACCGCCTGCCTTTCCACCATTCCCTTCGAGTCCGCCGCGCTCGCCACGGTGTCGCCTCACTGTTCAACATCGTCCAGTTCACGCGACATCGGGATGTCTTCCCTGCTGCGAAACCCCACTAACCCGTCTCGCGTGGGCGATGCGTGAGCCAGAAGGGCTCTGAGATCCCAAGACGCGCCGACACGGAAGAGCTAGAAGTCTACGAGAACATGCTGTCTTCCTCGTTGTCTCTTGAGCCCTCGATTCTCGCCGCGCCCCACGATTAGCTGCCCCTACTGCGACTGGCATGCGATCACCAGCGTTGCTATTCTATGGGCAATTAAATATTGCCTCTCAGAGGACAGCGTCGCACAGGATCACTTGCTCTTCGACAACGACTAGGCTCCGAGAAGCAAGAGGTGCTAGCTACAGCGACGATACAGGCATGCGCGAAATAAGCATCGGATGCAATACATCTCCAACGATCCCAGTCGCGTTTCCCGCCTCCGCCGACAACCTTGACCCTCCTCCGTTCCTCTACCAGTTGTTCTCGCGTCATCGTTACGACCGGGTGTGTTCTCGAACAGTAACCCCATCGAGAACCCAGCCTGACGATACGATCGGTTCCAATACCCGTTCCTCTTTTTGACTCAATGCGCTCGATCCATCCTCTTGCAAAGGTCGCTGCGCCAAGTAGTTTCACGTCGGAAGAACTGGTGTTTGCCGGGAAGGCTGCTTCCATTCGGCGAGAACCGCTTGAGCATGGAAGATGGCCAGCCTAGCTTTTGGGTTGATCCAGCTTTCTTCGGCGGACTCACCGTCTCGGCTTTCCTCAGCTTGCCGTTTAGTTCCAAGATGCAGACTACATACTACCAGTTGTCGGTACAGCTGCGACTCTATATCTGGGGAGATGCGGCATATCGCGGTACGGCTACGGTCGGTGGATGAACCCTTGTAGCTCTGCTGGGAGACATGAAAAAGCATCGGGTGCTCCCAAGCTGTCTCCCTGCCTCTAAACGTAGTAAGCCGCGGGAGCTTGAAAGATGACGTAGAGTAACCCGGCTCCAAGCGTAAGCATTGTACACGATGCTAGACTTGGGTTTTGTGAAGCCATCATGGTTGCAAGGTGTTTGACGCCCGAAAAGATCGTGTCCTCAATCATGTTTGGAGACAATACGCGAAGTCATTGCGATGATCCCATTCCACGTCCGCATCGATCACAAACCGGGGTACGTTTGTGTCGAACCATGTGTGCTCCGTCGCGTGGTCCATTGCACGACGCGATTGATGCAACCGCGATGACGGACCAGAGCTTCAGACGAAGTGGTTTGGGACGTATCCTGGTCTAATAGGCTGTAGATTCATGGTTCGCTTCGATTGCATCTTGTAGATCTATTGTAATTTACGGCAAATCCTCTCAAATGTGGTTGCGCAAAGATTAAAATTAAAGGTCCCGGGTAGGAATGCGCATTTTCGGTTGTACTCAATCTATCAATCCTGTGTCATGTCATTCTGTATTGGACAAGAAGAGTTGCGCAATTAAAGACATCGGCGATTCGAAGCTGGTCACTCTTTTCCGAGATTTTTTGTTATTGCGATGTACATGGCGAAGAATCCCATGTGCCCAAGCTTGTCACTTCAATCTCGACTCCCCAAGATGCGACACCACGACAACTGCGCAAATGATGATCAGACTCTTTCTGATCAATCCTGACAATCAGGCAATAACTTCTTCCTGAGGATTTATTCCCCCTGATATCGCAGGCCTTCAGGCTTTCTACTCGCCTCATCGTCACGTCGTCACCATAAACGCGTCAATCAACCGCAATACCTTCGCCCCATTTGCCTCATCACCACGTCCTCACCTCATCATCACCAGCTCCTCTCCCGGCTGCCTCTCTCAACAAAATACACAGGTGACATAAAATCAACGCGTCTCTCCCATAGCCTCAGCATCGCCTCAACACCGCCCCGATCACTAGCTGAAAGCTTAACACCGTCCTTCTCCATTCAGAACGTCCCGAGATGAATATCCCAGCGGCTCATCCCAATTCTGTGTCTAGGTTGTTACCGCCCTTCATTGACGTCATGGAATAAAATACGGATATGCAGCGAAATTAAGCTTAACCAAAGACAGGGGTTTCCCCGGCACTCAAATTACGGGTGGCCTCCTTGTTTTACGGGCAGGTTTTCTGGTGCCGTGTTGTTTTATGCGCGATGGTACTGTATCGGATCGTTGGAGTGAATCGGCGCTATCAAATGTCCCGTTGGTGCTCTTGAGAGGGTGAGCATGTCACTGGCGGGTCTGTCATGTGTCGAGTGCCACGTACGATAAGAAAAACTTGCCAACGGTGTTTTCTTCACCGTTCTAACGTGTCTTGAACACGTTATGTTTCCAACGAACTGCCGAATCGGTCATATCATGCATGATGTATTCGATCCAAGAATTCCTTTGTCTCCCAGCCAATCCACAGTCTCCAAACATCCCTAACTAAGTGGACCAATACCGGGCTGTGTATAAAACAAGTTCTACAGGAGCAGACTAAAAGATACAAAGGCTAGAGGCAGTTTTAACTCTAAAAACTGGATTTATGAAATCGCCCCCTTTTCATTTGCTTTGCTAGGTACAGAGGGACAGGAGATGAAGGTTGCCGGGGAGGGAAGGAGTGAATTGAGATCTAGCGTGATGGGCGCTATTAAGCTTAAAAAACGAGGCTTAGACAATGACGTTGTGGGGCGATTTATGGGGAGTCCTTGGATTTGTGATTTTGGGGTGGGGACGGGGGGGACGGTTAGTGGGCGTTTAGATCTTGGCTGGCGGCTGGAATACGACGGATGATCACGAAGGAGGAGTGTCTCTACAGCTAGATGTGGTGAGGAAATGAGGATATAGCTGTCAAGATGGAGATATCCAGTAATACATTAATT